ACTTTAAAGTTTAAGAAGGAAGCTTGTGAAGACACGGTCACTCTGTGTAGAGTTCTTACGTTCGATTCTTTGTCTTCCCAAGTCGATTGTAAATTGCCATAAATTGGATCTGTGTTTTGATCATTAAGTATTCCTAATTCTAGGGTAGTTCTTTGTAAATATGGAGTGATAAAGGGCAGTTCTTCATATTGTTGGTTATTTGTTCAATCATTTGATCATTCACTGAAATATTTAGCAATGATACTTCTTGGGCCTTGCCTTCAGAGGAGGGTACTTCTTGAGTTTTAAATAAGTAATGTAGTGTTACGTTATCATTTTAGCTTTGTATGTCTCTGTTAATATCTATTGAACAAGTCATTTAAATATAGTAGCAAAGCTGAACAAATCATTTAAATCTAGTGAGATTGTCCAAGCTGGCTAAAACGATGACATTAACTCCTAACTCTTGCTCTTGTGATAAATGACACTGTAGATATTCCACGGATGTTCTGAAGTTTGGTTTATAAAATGTACCTGTTAGTATGCTTTCCATTACATTTAATAGAAAGCCCAACTCAAACCAACCCCAATGATCAGGAAATACATTGTCCTACATAACTGAGTTCCAGAGTTGGGCAACTTCAGGGATTATTGATTCTACAGTCTAGTGGTGTCATCAGAGAACCAACATCTTTCTGCTCCTTCCACTCCATTATCCACAATTCAGCTATCTACAGGTTAGTTCCAGGGCTCAGGGGCTTTTACTTTCTTTTTCATGGCCAGCAGAGGGGAATGAGCCATCTCCCTAAGCATGGGGCTATGTCCGTATGATTAGGCCATTCTGGGTCTAATAACTTTGTACTAATAAGTCAACAGGGGTATGGCATCCACATGATTCACATGCTGGAAGTAGGTTGCATTCCTAAACACAGAGTTCCATTAGGAAGAAGGAGGTAAAAAATGGATTTTGAATAGCAACCAACAGAGATCATTACAGTATTAACAGTAGCATTGCTTCTTAATAGGAAAGAAAAAAAAAAAAAGGACTCTAATGCCCATGTGGCTTAGAGTCAACTTTTGACAGTAAAATGTTTGTAATGACTAAACAGAAGTATTTTATTTAAGGGCAGAAGCTGTAGAACTTTGAGCTTCAATTAATACTCAAAGTCATTTTCTCCATAATCATTAACACATAAGTGCCTGATCTTTTCCAAACTTCTTGGTGACCCAGTCCTAACATGATACCTTTCAGAATTGAGTAGCTTAATTTGTAACATGGAGTAGAATTTTAATTGAGCTACATTTGCATCTGTTGAAAACATGGTAATTAGGTACGTCTTAATTGCAGAATGACTGTTCTGCATTAAAGAGAAATGAGCAGCTTCATGCTATACCTTCTTTAAAAAAAGAAACTGGAAAGTACCCGTCTTTATAGGTAATCACATGAGAAAGTAGCTGATAGTTCAGTGCATAGAGCAGGTTCAAACAGGCAGAAATGTTGTCAAAAATAGAAATTTCTGTTTATTTGGAAGGAGATAATTATCTTTCTTTGTGCAGGCTACCTCCAAAAGGAAAGCAAATAACCTATAAAATTGAGCAGAATTAAAGAGAAAAAAAATTGAAATTTATATAGCATTTAAAATAGTAAACTATCTAAATATAGGTTTCTGATTAGTTCTTGCACTGTAATTCACTATATGAACATAATAGATCAGGCTAATAATATTACTAGAACTTATTTGAAAAATTGTTTATATGAGTATTTTGTGTTTTCTTAGTTTAAGGGAGTAAAAATTCTTATGTACCCTATATAGCTAGTATTAAACATACAAAGATTGGTATTAAAACTTGCAATTTGGCTAACGTATCAGTAAACTTAAAAATATACATAGTCTTCAAAAATTAAGCATGTATAACCAATTTATTTGAGCTTTTAAAAACCACAGTATTTCTGCATAGAGGCAGGGTAATGCGAGAGATTCTTATTTTTCTCTATCGATTAATTTCAAAGTTTGAAGCATATATAGTGCGATACCCTAAAAGAACATCTTATGTTTGTACATATGAAGCTACATATTGCTAAATATTTTTAATTAGTTGGCATTCAAAGAGATTAGTTAAATTAGTACACCCCCAGAAGAGTTTCCGTGATAATGTATTATCTAAATTAGAATGTTCAGAACAAGCAAAAAGAATTCTCAAATGCACAAGTATCATTTTAAACAGTTCGCTTGCTTGAGGCAAGAAACTGAGGGTAGGGGTTTTGATTTTATAAAATGAGGTTATAAAAACCTGAAGTTAATAAATGATTTGATAACTAACTTTACGTCACCCAATTTAGAAAATAAGTTGCATTACATACACCAGAAAATTATCATGAATATGAAAAGAACTGGCAACAAATATGACTTCAGCATATAGTGAGTTGTGAACGCACTGCCTTCTTTCTGTTCCCGAGCCAAGATCAAACATATGCCCCTTGAACCTCTGCCAAAACTATTAGGCAGAAAACTAACAGAATCACTACTGATACTTCCATTCATGATTTATGATAATGGTTGCTGCGAAAGACTAAGTCATTTACATTTATGGAGCGCATTGTTTTGTTTATAGTTTCAGACATTGTCGAGGGTCATAAAGTGCATTAGATGATACATACAGCACTAACAATAATAGGCTAAAATACAGCAGAACCGACTGGAGCTGGATCAAGTACAGTGGGCGCTCCTGGTGTTTCTGTAGTTGTGGTGTGGCCTGTCTTGTCCGGTTTGATTAGAGGAGTGTAGGCATTTTTCTGAAGACAGAAGAATGCTGGTACCCAGAAGCTGGGTAGAAGTTTGATTGGGATAAAGTCATGAGTCGGGTTTTACCAATTGTCTTGCAATTCCACAACTATTTATGAGCACCTGCTGTTTGCCTGGCCATCCTCAGTTTAGGAGCTTAAAGAAAGGGAGAGAGACATGTTTGAGATATCATCTGAGAAGTGCAATAATAAAAAATTATATTAATATATAGAGCTATGAAAGTAGAGATGAAAGGAGGTTTCCATGTAGGAATTATAGAAAACTCATTAGCATCCATTTATCTGGTTTGGGTATACCAACAGACCTAGGTTTTACAGCTCGCAAGAACTTTTGAAAATTGTTTTATAATGGTTTGGTCAATTATCTCAAAGGTCAAAGTAATGGTTTGCAAACAGAATGAAGCCACGTTCAAGGGTACTAGGTAAGGTGCTGCAGTCTTGCTTACGCTATATTTACATTCTTTTTGGGAGCTCTCCTTTGAAAAGGCTAGGCATAATTAGCAAGCCCTTGGGCGAGGTGCCAGGATATTCTTTCCCTGCTCTGTGTATACCACAAAAAGATCACAGCTTTCACTCAGCACTATTTGTAAGACTATGGACTTTCGTTAACTATGTGAATCTGAAAGTTGTAAATGGCTTCCTCTAACCAACCTGCACAATTAGTATTTATACATTAATATTAATGGATAGAGAGGAAAAAAGCAGATTTCCTAAAAGCCACAAAGTCCTTTAGAGGAGGGTGGCTCACAATTAAAGAAACCCCAGTACAGAGGGAGGTCAGCCTTCCTGAAGTCATTGATGTGGTTGCCTGCCAGTCCTAGAGTCCTACAGTTTTTTAAAAAACTATATTACGTGGACGTGGCTACGCCATCATTTCATATCATCTCTTTTCAGATTTGTAAGGGTTTAATAACAGAAAACCAAGAGATTGGGATTGTTTCAGCCGGTCTTCTTATACCCTTGGTATTGTGTGTTGCTAATTCAAGTGTCCCTTGCTGTTGGAGAGGTTATACTGAATTTTACTTGAAGATACGTGAACTTGACTTGAGGTCAGTTCTTTGCAAAGGATTAGGGAGAGACCTAATTGTTCCCTTTAGCACTGTGTGACAAGAAGCTCAACAACATCGATCTATATTTTCTTTGTTGATGCTGGAAAAAGAAAAATGACCTCAGAATTCAAGGAGTCACCTGAAGCCCCAATAATTCTTACTATATCTGGAGGACAACTTTAGGCAACTAATCTCAAAAGATTTCTGAAAATGGCTGTTAATATGTACATCTATGCTTCTTACTTAATAGAGAAATTCTTCAAGTTCTTTTGGTGGGTGGAAGCCTACTCGTAATTCTCGCGAACGCAGAGAGTTGGAGGTAATGAAGTACCCTTAGACCATGTGCTTACTAAGTGTTGGTTCAAGGAGTGGAACATTGTTATCACTAAGTAGATCTTCTATCTGCAGAGTCTAGACGAGTGCAGTTATGGGTTTACTGGTTTTCATGGCTCCATCCACCTCTGTTCAGCTGCCATGGTGCAGATAGGCATGCAAAATTGTTTAGGATTAGGACACGTAGTAGGCATTATTTCTGATGTTCGCCTTGTGCAAAGAAAAGTTACAGAGCCTGCGAAGATCTGTTATAGCTATAAACCAAAAAATCCACTCTTCCGTGTGCAGAAATCATAAATGGACATATATTTGGGAGCCTGAGGAAAGAAAACCTTTGTGCTGACTTTCGTGTAGTTTAGCAAATTAATGAGGGGCCAGAGTGTGTCTACCTTATCCTTACCCAAGAAGAAAGGAAGTCCTTGGGGAGAGGTTCCTTCTTTTCTTTCTTTTCGCTTTGCAAAGATAGCACACAGGACTCTCAGAGGTCTGCCCCGTGTAACGAGGCCATGCTGGGGCCCCAAGCAGCGCACGGTCTGTAGCCTGAAACGTTGCTGTGCGTGCAGCAGCATCCAGCCAGAGCGCTGCTTCTCTTTTGCCCTTGCTCGGCATACCATGTTCACAGAGGAGCACACACGTGCGCGGGAGGCACCCACATCACGTAGTGCATTCCAGCTCCACCCAGAATTTAACAGCATTGCCATCGTGTTGATGGCAGGGCCATGCTGCAGAAAAAATGTGAGAAAGTAAAGTCCTCACGTGTATTTTAGCTTCTTTATTTTTGTTGCTTTGGTTCACTGTGTTCCTGGTTTTTTTTTTCCTCCCTCTTTCCTTCCAAGTGGAAGAAGACACAGAAGAAAGTTCAAGATCAGGGAGAGAGTCAGTATCCACGGCCAGTGATCAGCCCTCCCACTCTCTGGAGAGACACATGAACGGAAACCAAGAGAAAGGCGACAGGACCGATCGGAAAAAGGATAAAACTGGAAAAGAGAGGAAGAAAGAGAGAGATAAGGAGAAAGATAAAATGAAAGCCAAGAAGGGGATGCTCAAGGGCTTGGGCGACATGTTCAGGTAAGTCTTCACGAGCATAAACCAGAGCTTCCCTAAACATACACAAGCGCGAGAGTAACAAAAAAGTACTAAAAGCCGGTGTGCTGGCGCATACCTGTAGTCCCAGCTACTCGTGACACTGAGGCAGGAGGATTGCTTGAGTCCAGCCTGGGCAACATAGCAAGACCCCTGTCTCAAAAAAAAAAATAATAATAAGTAAAATAAAAAGTACTTGAAAGCACAGATTTGAAAACATTATCTTTCAGGTTACCCAAAATTTGTGTATAATTTCCAGCTACTATATTTTTACTTTCTTAAGGATTTCACTGGAATATTGCAGACCATTTTAACAGCCTTAAAGATGATACCTTGCCAACTGTGTAAATAATTGTTGGGAGGAAGGAGGGACATGTCTGTATCTTAGTTATGCATAAGAGTAAAAGCCCCAGTGAGACAAAGGGCCATTAAAGCACTGTTTGTTCTTTTTTGTGTGTGTGAACAATGGTTCATTATTTAAATCTAACACAGAGCTCAAGTTAGTGGTAGCATTTAAAGGTTCGTTAATAACAAGTCTAATAAAAAATGTTACAAATAGACCTTCAATTAAGCTGTGTTGATTAATTTAATACTTATTACTTCAGTCTGTAAAGATTTCATTAAATGTAGTCTCTGGCTGTCTCTTGACAGTTGTTTTTGTGTCCCTAAATTATACTCTAGGATTACTTAGCATATCATTTTTTTACAAATCATCGCTATACAATAAAAGTGACAAGTTGTTCAGAAGTTGCACTGAAACTCTCCCATAAATGTTCGTCTAAGGAGATTTATAATATTCGGGCATTTAATGTTAAATATAAAGATTGCTTGATTGTTCCATAAATTAAACCCCTAAACATATCAAGATGATGGTTTAAAATTGAAAACATGCCCACAGCCACTTGACTTTTCAAAAAGTAGTTATCCTGTGTTATGAATCCCTTCCTTTTAACTTTCTTTTAATTGCAAAATGTGAACACGAGTTTTTATTTTCATAGACTTTCTTGATTTATAATCCTGAGGTTGACCTCAATAATTCAGGGAGTTATAGATTAAGTCAGGCCTGGAAAGTCCTAGAATCGTGGCCCAGCCTGAAGGCTACGCGGACAGCAGATGCATTCTGTAGATGTCTGATCAAGCCAAGTGCAAGGAAGAAGGAAAGTGACTATAGACTTCCATGGACACAAAATCTGGCTTCTTAGCACTATTTTCTTATTTAAATAGGATTGGATTTCTGTCTCCCAGTGCTTTAGAACATTGGGATTTTCGTAGTTTTCCATTAGAGCTTTTCTTATTTATATACTGTTCCTTCTGAGTGCATTCTCAGTCAGATCATCTTTCTTTATTACATTGCGTGTCCAAGAATCCTACAGGATGAAATTACTCTAACTGCCACTTTATTTTCAGTTTTTGTGTTAGCCAGGGGATTTCATTCCTTATATGCAAACTGACAGCTCATAAACTGACACCTACATAGTGCACAGAAAAAAGGCTGCTGCCCACCAATTAAAATGTAAGGAATTTGTGCTACGGTCTTCTTTACATTAGAGAATAAGAATTGGGAGCAACTTGCCCCGAGACCCGCGGCACACTCCTTTCCCGGGGCTCTCTTGATGTCTTAGTGAGAGCTAATAGTTAGTTTTCATTCATCACCAACATTTATCTGATGGATATGGTTCTCTGTTCCTGTTGTGGGGTAAAAAAATAAACTTCTAGTGTCTTAGAATTACATTCATTATGAATGATCTTTTTCTGTAACTTGCAACTCCAGACGAGAGGTCTACAGGGGAGCTTTCTGTTTGGGGTCAGAGGAGTGGGGAGTTTGGAGAAAATGTATGTTATCTCCAAAGGACCCTGAAGAACAACACAACACAACTCTCTTTCCGCTAAAAGTGCTGTCAAACACTACATGATGTTTTCTCTAGATCTAACTCTACAGACTGTGCCTATCACTTGTAAGGAATGCCAGCTTTGTGATGGAGGAGTTGACCCTTCATAGTCTTGGTCATCAAATTCTATGTTCAGGTGCAGGGGCTGAAGGCTTCTTCTAAAAATTAGGCCAATATTCTACCAGTGTTTAAGAATGGCTGGTATGAAAATCGTGCCCATCTACCCTTTCCTGGGCACCTAGCATTAGCGGTTTGCTCAAGTCAGCTCATACTGGCTTGGGAGAGCCAGTTGTTCTTGTTGTTAAACACAGCCATTATTAAAAATGAAATAAATTATCTTAAAAAGGTAATTGCTCAAAATTCCTCACTTCCTAATTATGTTTACTATACTACGGTCTCTGATTTTGAGATTATTTACACCTATTGTATGGGCGTGATGCTAACACTATGGACTGGTGGGTACTACACAGCTCTCTCCGGTTCCATGTTCGGTGACGACATGCTGGTAGCCAAAAATCTGCCATGGTGGGAGTATGCATACCTTGGAAGTCTGTGAATTTCATGAAAGAGAGTTTTTTTTTCCCCAGGGGAGCAACATACCACCTCATCTAGAATGTAAATACGTCTTTTGGCAGAGTTGTAGCATCTTGACTACTATACCTGGACATGGTTGGGTTTTATCTAATTGCAAACTGCTGCTTCAGCCCTTTGGGGAAGCACTGAAGCTTGCCAAATACTGCTCCTTGAAATGAGCTGAGAACAATCTATTAAACATAAAGTAAGCTTTTCGTTTTATTGGATGTTGGTTCTTGCTCCACCCTTCACACCATCATTACACGCCATTAGTGTTTGAGAAGACTCTTAGCTTTAAGAGTGTCACTTTCTAAACAACCCTCTATGCCTACTGGATCTGATTATTTGAAACTAATATAACCTCAGGTTGATACTTTCATGTCATCTTACGTTATCTCTTTTTGTTGTTGTTAAACAACATGGTGTGGGGAATACAGTAAGATTTTAAAATTAATCTCTTCCTTTCTCTTTATTCTTTTAAGAAGACTAGGGTGTGATTTCCTTAGCAGTGTTGCTTTTAAATAGCTTAATCAGAATGAGTATGTGCATATACATTTCTTACAACAGTTTGAAAGTGTTCAAATGTGGCAGGCCAGTACAGGTCTAAAGTACAAAGCAGGGGTGTGTCTGTGTGAGTTATGTTTTTGTTTTTGTTTTGTGGTTCAGATAACAAAAAGAGCAGACTAAGGGTAAACGACATTAGATATTGGGAGTCAAGCTTTCTAGATAAATGCCCTACCATCCTACCCCCCACCCCCACTCCCACACATGCACTATTTCTACCTGTGCAGGTGGTCTGCGATTTTTAGTTAAAATATGATAAGGGCCAAATGGATGGCCCCTATTTTAAAAATTGTACCAGAGGAAATGATGATACCTCACGTAGGTATTTTTAGTCATTGGCATATACAGACGACATGGTTTTCTGTTTCACACATTGAATGGGAGTCACAAAAATGATTCCATTATTGATAAACAGCTGTAGGAAAGGATGTTGCGAGTCATAGGAATCACTCTTCTGTTTATAAATTATGGAGTATATGAAGTGCACAGGCCACCTTAATGCAAGTTTTCAATCACAAATTTACATCTACAAGGCATCAAATAACGAATGTAAAGTGTTTCATGTTCGTATTAATTTCTCCTTGTACGTCCTACATCTTCTTTTGCGCTTAAGGAGCTCCTGCTGCCTTAATTAAAATGGCTTTGTGTCTAAGAAACCTTGTGTGCTTACAAAACAGGTGAACACGACTCGCGCATGTAATCATTCTGCCTGTGCAGGGCAGGGCAGAGGGAGGGCGGGAATCTCCAGTCTTGGCCATTCCTACTTCACACTGTAAGGGATTTCTGAGAATTCTGCAATTATATGAAATTGTCACTGAAGAGGGAACTCTAAGTATGTACTTTAGAAGGAGGGAGATGTGTTGATTAATGTTTTAAATGTGTTCGTTCTTAAAGGAAAGCAACAGCATTTGAGTGACATGTTTTTACCTTCGTTTTCATCTCCAAATTGAAATAACCGGCAAGATAATAAAATGCATATTCTTATATATTAAGAATTTAAAATGATCGGTTCTGGGATTTTTTTTTTTCTCCCCAGCCGTAGAGTAAGTGCATTTTGATACTGCTTTGCTGCAATATTTAAACTGTTATTGTTTGAACCGAAGGTCCTTAGAAGTGGCCTCATCGTACATGTTTCAGATTGTGTCTTGCTCTTGTGTGTATGCGACAGCTGAGAACCTATCGCCGTGGATAGCTAAAGCACAAGTAATGTTGCTGTGTTTCCATTACAATGGAATCCTCCAGTTACATTTAAAATGATTACTTGGGGCCCGGCAGCATTGTTTTATTCAGTTTTGGAAGAGGAAATAGATAATTTAGTTTGAAACTCTGTTTGGTGGAAATCAGATATAATCTAAAAAGGAAAATACAGTAGTATGACTGTTTTCAGAACACAATGAGCAAGATCAGATTTTAACGCTTAATGTTGTCGTTTGGATTGCACGTCTTAAGCTTGTGAGAGAATGACAAACACGAGTTGTCGTTGCTGTCCTTACCTGTGCGTACTAACTGTGTGTCTGTACCGTGTTTCTCATTTAGCCTTGCCAAACCGAAGCCCGAGAAGAGATGAACAACAAACCCGATTCAAAAAATGTCTTGAACAGCACATATTGCACAGTTGTTTTTTTTTTTTTAAAAAAAACAAACAATAAATTTACTTTTAATGAATTCTTAGTGGCTGTTGACGAATTTTGTTTACGACATCAGCAGTTTTGATGGTTTAGTAATTTTCGTTCTTAATCAATTTGGAACTTTTTGATCTTGATTTCCAGCTTGGGGGTTTAAATTACTGCTTGAAAAGGCAGACATGTTTTTTTTTCCCCCATCATTTTTTTATTAGCCCCTTTTCATAGTGGAAGACCATGGTCCTAGCTGCTGGCGTACTCAGAAATCTTCAGCATACACCAGTTGGATGTCAGAGCTTTCAAGATTATGTAAAGTGCCACTACCAGTTTGGTTTTG